GTTTCCGAGGCCGCATGTCTTTCCTGGGTCTACGTCCAGGTCTCTCCTACCAAGCTTCAAGCAACATACTCTCCGCTGTATTGGAAACCGTGTCCTGCTCAAGTCTCATCAGTCCCGACGTTTCCCTTTTACCCACCGTTTGCTGGTCACCTCCTATTATTGGTGCTCTTCGCGGTCCTTAATTAGCACCATTAACAGGCACCGCTTCGTCTTTGGAAATTGAAATTCGGCTATTTGTGGAAATTCGTCTTCTAGAAGACCCGACGCATCGTCACCTGCAGCACTGCTACGAACATAAAGCAAACTTCGAGTGTGACGTCCACATCCATACCCTCGAGCTTCCTCTGTGCCCGCAAAACCGGAGAGATCAGGCCTTTATTGCGTATACAGAGCTTTCCATTGGAGCCGACGCCATACCTTCTCTGTCGAATAGCAGGCAGTTCTTCCTCTCCTTCAATCAATCACGACTATCACGACTATAATGCCCCACCTTAACGTGAACAGCCCGAGCGGGAACATAAATTTCCACTACAACATCGCGACTCCCACGTCGCCTGCTAGCCCCAATATTGCCCCAAATTTACCCACCATCCTCTTCGTTCACGGTGAATACTTTTCTCAGGAGGTTTTCGAAGGTGCGATCTATCCTATGTTCTACGCCTGTATTTACTAGACATTTTATTAGCCCAATTCTCCGATCCTCAACTTCGAACCCGCTTCAATCTCCTCGCCATCGATCAACGTGGTTTTGGTAGCACGGGTGGCTTCATACCAGAGACATATACGCCTATCCATGCCGCGCATGAGTTCTATCTGCTTCTTGCAAGTCCAAAGTTTACCCTGCAACTCAAATACTAACCACAAATCCCTAAATAGAAAGCGCTCGACATCCGAAAGATCCATATTTATGCCGTTTCCATTGGCACTCACATTGCCCTTGAGCTTGCTATATCGCACCCTGACTTGATTGATTCATTGACGCTCTGTTCGACATTGCCCCCAAAGGAGGTGCGTCATCTTCTTCCACGATGATATCGATGAACATCGCATGCTCGCGTGGCATAGTTCGGGCTTGCAATTGACAGACCCATATCTTTTCATATATTTGACAAATCGATGCTCACATCCTTGTCATCACCAGCCCGAAGAAACGAAAGGAGGCCGCGTGGAGGTTTACGACTTCTGGAAAGACTCCTCCGCTCAAGACGGTTCTATTGAAGATTTTGACCCAGAGCTCATGTCGACCCTGATTCGCGGTGCTCAGCAGTTGATGTACAGCGGACATTCGACCCCGTTATCCGAAGCGTACGTAGGGGTTCCACCTTACAGATATTGCAGCGTGTCTGACTTGTATTTCTGTCCAACTCACAAAATAGCATAACGATGTCTGCCAAGACGCACGCCTCGAAAAACTGGGCTGGGACACCCGCGGCGTTGGTGTCAACACGTACGTTAAGCATAGACTGGTTTGTCCAGAGGAGGGTGTTCGATGTTGAGACTCTTTCCAAAGTAACGGTCATCCTTTTCTTGATTTTGAAACTGGTTTCACACAAATATCGATATTCAGATCGGATGTCCTATTACTATCATCCATTGCGAAGACGACATCGTGTATCCCTAAGACATGCTCAAGAATTCGAGGCGCAACTAATCGAAGCAGGAAATGCACGGGTGACGCTTTGTCAAGTACCTGGGCCGCGTTTTGCAAACGTGATATATCCGGACGTGTACGTCTGGCACATCTCACGGTGATCATATGGTAGTCTCACCATGCACATAACTTTGCAGGCTCAACCCCATTATCCGTAGCCAAGTTCTTTTAATCACTGATCCCAATGGCCCTTCGGAAATGTCCGATCTAGAGAAGACTCAGGCATCGCCTTTCATTACACCCTTCAGGGAGCTTCTGGCTCAACACGGATACCATTCTGACTCTGATGAGGATTCGGAGTAATTTTTTCTAAATTTTAGGCAATATTTGAATGTACGGGTACATATATGCGAGCATCATGCGTTTATGCCAACTTGAAGGACTTCATCATGATGGTCCGATGGGACTATTCGATTATCGTTTGTACGTGTTGAGAAGTGAAGTCAACAGCACCCAAGTCCAGACTTCCAACCCATTTTGGGATCAAGTACTCACAATCCATCCTCCACGGTGCCCCTGCTGCGTCGCGACCGCTTGAGGTAGTCTAAGGGATAGCATTCACTTCTGTATTCAGTAGTATTCCTTGGGATATGAATCCTGGCGCTTGAACAACTACCGACCGTGCCCCGTCCGACCACATGTCAGAAACCATGAATCCAATATCTATCGCGTGAGTGTTCTTTTGGTGATTCGCGACTGCTAAATAGACCTGATGCACTGCAGTATGATATCTGATTTCTTCCATCCCAACGTTGGAGGCGTGGAGAATCATATCTATATGCTGAGTGCCACGCTAATCGCGAAAGGTCACAAAGTATGTCTTATTGGCATGTTTTCTTGAATAACCACCTGAAGCCTTGTCTGTAAGGTGATTGTTATAACCCACAGTCATGCACCAGACCGTGTCGGGGTACGCTGGCTATTGCCTTCCCTCAAGGTATACTACATCCCTTTCCTTCCCATCGCGTCCTCCGCAACTCTCCCGAACTTCCTCACCTCACTGCCGTACCTCCGAACGATTCTGTTGCGGGAGCACATACACCTGATCCACGCCCATGCCAGCCTCTCTTCCATTGGTCACGAAGGAATCTTACATTCACACCTAATGGGCATCCGCACGGTCTTCACGGACCATAGTCTATTCGGATTCGAGGACGCTGCGAGTATCCTAACCAACAAGCTTCTTGCTGGCACACTTAGAAATGTGGACGCAGTCATCTGTGTTTCCCATACGGGGTACGCGTCATCACCTTCTAGTTATCGATATGGACTCAATGCATTGCGTGAAGACGCGAGAATACAGTGCTTCGTGGTGAACTCTTTGAAAGAGATCCTAAATCCCCTTCCAAGATGATCGTCCGCGAAGATGTCTACGTTATACCCAATGCTCTCGTGGCCGATCAATTCAAGCCTGGGCCCCCAAAGTCTACCGACATCAGTGAGTTCTCTGCGATCCGGACGCTTCACATCGTTCTCACTAGGTTTCAGTCACGATTGTCGTCCTTTCTCGCCTTGCATACCGCAAAGGCATCGATCTTCTCGTTGCCACGGCGCCTAGAATATGTGCAGCGTTCCCAAACGTTAGGTTCCTAATCGGTTTGTCATCTCCTCCCAACCAAGATAAAGCCTTACTGAAACTGATCATGTCTAGGTGGAGATGGGCCAAAGCTCATCGACCTCCTACAGATGAGGGAGAAGCACCTTCTCCAGGACCGAATTGAGCTCCTAGGTTCCGTTCGCCACAGTGACGTCCAGTCTGTAAGTGTCGCTTATGGACTTTTTTCAGACTCATATCAACTCTGCATCAGGTGCTCCACCAAGGCGCCATATTTATGAACACCTCCCTCACGGAATCATTCGGCATCGCCATCCTCGAAGCTGCGTGTGCAGGCCTTTACGTCGTCTCCACACGCGTCGGAGGCGTACCCGAGATCCTCCCTAATGATATGATCAGCTTCGCTGAACCCGACGAAGACGGTACGCGTTTGCAAAGTTACACAACTTCTGATCATCATCTAACTGCCAGCTTCGCGCATCCTCAGATGTCGTCCGAGCAATGTCCGAGGCAATCCACATCGTTGGCGCAGGAAAGCATGACCCGCAGAAAGCGCATGAGCGTGTCAAGACTTTTTACAATTGGGAGGATGTTACTACACGGACGGAGAAGGTATATGATGCGGTCATGAAATCTCCGCAGATGGAACTGTGGGAACGTATGCAACGGTGAGCATTAGACCAGTTTCCTTCTTTGCTCCTTTGGCGAGCTGTATGCTTTTGGTAGGACGATGCAGCTTGGTCCCTTTGCAGGACCCATTTATACGATCATCCTGATTGTGGATTGTATCTTCTTCCTGTTCCTTGAGTGGTGGATGCCACGTGAGGATCTGGACTTTGTCAATGTCCATTGGGACCCCAAGAAGTTTTCACAGGTATGACTTTTTTCGTTTTGCGGTATCGGATCTTGCATCATGCGTTTCTACCTGCTAGCTTGCCGAGAAGAAGAGGCTGAAGACCGCCCAGTCCAAGACAAGTACCGGCTGATATTCAAACCAAGCCTCATGTCCAGCTTCCGGATGATTAGATGCCGGATTCTAGGCTGGGGAAACGAGGCATTTCAGGTGTTCCGCTCGGAGACCCGGCATGCACATAACAGTGCAGGCTGCGATATCTCATGCCCAAGTTCCGGCCAAAGCCACAAATCATGACATCACGCTCACGGGATGTAGGGTAAAACCTCCGCTTTCAATTTACCAGGGAGGAATGAGAAATCTAGGGGAAAGAGACCGTTATTTGAGAAGAGGAATTCGCAATTCGTCTTCTCTCCCTGCCAAGGCTTTTCATGGTTGAAATCGCGAAATCGACGCTACGTCGTTTTTCGGGAGTCAATCTTTTATGGGGTTTTCTCAGCCATACGCCCGTACGCGACACGCCCTATCCGAAAGGTTTACGTGACATATTTTGCGACAGTCTTTAGCATCATCTCTCCCTCTGTTGTATGCCTGATCGGCCCCTTCCATTCTGAAATTAACATTCCCCATCAGCCTCTGCCTGGTTGTCCAGGACGTTTGCGAAGGTCCACCCGAAGCTTCTTTTACTTTTCGCCGTCCTCGCTACTGTGAGCCTAGAATTGGAGCTGATAGATCGGCTGCTACCACCCGGGAACAACTTCTCGAGTACAACCGGTACACCTACTCTGTCCCAGAACCGAATAACATCGACCCGCCAGACATCCAAGCTTATCACTCGGCCTAGCGCAACCTCACTGTTTCAAGGACCAGACGCGCAAAACCCCGAGCATCGTCTACCCGCGCATACATGCTCCAATCTAACAATTACACTTGTTCTTAACAGCAGCATGGCGCAGCTGGAAGCGCGCGGGGCCCATATGTACCGCTCTAGGTTATTTGAACCCCGAGGTCACTTGATCGAAACAAGTTGCTGCTATATGTGATCCTGATTTATCTTTTTGACTTGCTTTCTCATCACAGCGCCTTCGACTCTGAGACTTGAGTCTTGAGAGACGTACCATCGACGCTTTTCTTAACTTGCAATGGCTTTGCCTCTAGAGGTACTCGAGCTCTCTCCGACATCGCTCGCGACCCATTGAGTTAACATGAACATGCAAGGCGTCGGGATATGAGAGGATAATATGAGCTTAGGACGAGCAATATAAACAGCTCAGTCATGTATGAAATGACTCTACTTAGCCGCTACCCGTGCGTAGAAGTGTTGTTTAAGTCATGGGCATTAGACTTAGGCTTCCTGTCATCGAGCCAATGCTATTTCAAGACAGTAGGCATTCCTCATATACTCGTAGATGGTACGAGCAAATTGCCGTGGTAGGTATCATTCTTCGCAGGGTAGGCCAAAGCAGGGCGAGGTGTTTCTATAATTATAAATACTAAAAATACATACGCAGCATCGGCAGTGACTCAAGCACCGCGCCTAACGAGAGTCACTGGGCATGCGTAGCCGATATATGAATAGATAGTCATAGAGGAGAGTGATATACAAGTCCAATGTGGGGTAGGTGGGAAATAGACAGGTCTGGCATGGTATGTCTATGGATGAGCCAGTCAATTGCAGGGGTGCACGATCAGCAATCGGAGTCGGATTCGCCGTCGTGTGGATCGTATCCATATTTAGCGAGTCTCGACGTAAACGGCGTGGGCATCTTCAAGCAGTCGATGTGTTCGTCCTGGTGTCGTTCGCGCTCCGGCGGATAGCGGGGCACGCTACTGCTACCGTTACCGTTCCCAGTGCCATTCCCCACGGAGAGAACGTGGTCGAGAAGTATCGCGTTGATTCTGGAAGAAAGCGCAAGGCAAGGATCATGGATCATCAGTGACTGTTGGTACCTATCCGAGCGGCGAAGAAGCTGGTTTATGTCAACTCACGCTTGTGGATTCACGACGTTCCCATAGTGGGGCCCAGACACTTCACACAGCCTAACATCCGCGATACCGGCGTCCCGCAGCTGCTCCTCCAGTTCCTCCGCGTACCGCAGGGGGTACGCAACATCGTCCTCGCAGTGTATAAGCTGTATTGGGCAGTTGATCTGATTATGTCCATAATCACAAGGAAGGGAGACGGGGATCAGTTTCTGAAGAAGCGTGTCATCGGGGGAAGAAGCGCACCTTGGCAAGGGCCTCGCGAGACTGTGGTCTCCGGGTAAGGAACCACCCGACGGACGCGTGGTAGGATAGTTTTAGCTTGGCGGGGGAGCCAGCCCGGTTCATTATTGCGTGCTGGAGGCCGCTGTTGGACATACTAGATGGATGGAACGCGTAATCATCAATGAACAGCGAAGAAATTACGCCAGGAGCCCTACGCACGCCACAGTCAAACGGTTGCTCTCGTTGTTGAAGCATAACTGTTGCGCGCCGTGTAATAAATCATTCAGCACGTTGTGGTCCGTATCGATGGACGGGCCGGTACCGTCGTGGTTGAAAGCCTCCACCCACAAATGATACACCTCAAGCCGCCCGGCCGCGATGTCTTCTGGCTGAGGAAGCACCATAATGATAGTCAGCATCGGAAAATTGCTCATCCGAAGCCACCTGAAACGGGCGTGCAAGATGTAAGTAGGGCCGTTCTTACCTCGGTCGCAGGAAGCGGCGAGCAAAGCGTGAGGGAGAGCACGAGATCAGGGTGGTTCGCCGCGAGTTCCAAGCCGACACAACACCCGATCGCAAGGCCGAATATGTGTATGGGAGGGAGATTGAGTGCTTTCTGGAAACACACAAAAGAAACGAAGAATCGTGAGTGCTCAGCGGAATGGACAGAAGGTGGGCGTCGGGACGGATAAGGTAGCCGGGTACTCACGAGGAATCGGTGAATATCGTCAGCGGAATCAGCGGGGCCGTATTCCTGCTGGGTGATGGTGCCCTTCGTAAGGCCGTATCCTCTCATGTCGACTCCAATAAGGTTGAACTGCGTTCTTAGCCTGGGGTCGCAGAACTGCACTGCGTGGACGGACGGGCGCAGTCAGCTAAGAGTGTCATGTCTTAGGGAATTGGGAGGGAGACTTACTCTCGAAGATTTCCTGGCCTGCATATCCTGAGTGTAGGAAGAGTATACATGGTAAATGAGCATCGATAGTAGAGCTGGAATGATTGGTAGGCGTTGCTATGCAGTAGTGCAGCTCGACGGCGCCCGTAGGTGAGTTTATCTGAACGTGCGGCATAACGACAATACGTAGCAGTGGGGGTGGTAGTGGTGGTGGTGGTGGTACGGGCGTAACAGCAGCAAAGCACCTGCCAATGGCAGAAGAAGTGGATAAAGCTCAATTGGGTGAGAAGACGCTCAGATCGAAACGTCTTCGCTGCTTTTACGGGCCGCGACAGGTCCGAATCTAGGTCTGGGCGAGTCAATTCCGCCCGGGGACGTGTGTACACCTTTGTTCGTTGTTGATCAGGACCCACCCAGCCGCTGTACCAGGGTACTCGGGACCGCAACAATGATTGATAGGTCGCATTCCTGGACTCACTATTTCTGTGCAGGGTATTGGATGGCTTCGGCGTACCGCCCATGGGTGCAATGCATCCGAGTCATCATAGGCTGAAACGCCTTTTGGATAGCGGTTCTCGAGGAGGCGATCATGATCACGCCGGGTGGACACCCCATAATGCGCCGGAGTGGTAGGCGCCCGCTCGCCGTTTGGACATCGGTAGACAAGGAGGCGGCCGTAGCAGTCGCGAGTGGTGTCGTACGAGTCTGATCATCATAGGTAATCATCATCAGGGGATATGTCTATCTGGGGAGGTGTTAATGAATGGCATCCTCCGACACAAGCATGAGGAAGAGGGACCAAGGCACACATTTCTAGAAGAAGGAAGGAGGATCAGCACATGGATTGAAAAGAATGTATAACGACGTAGGTGGCTGTGGGCGCCTGCGTGGCCCGTAACTTTAACTGCAGCGGCGCGGTGGCAGGATAAGAGCTTATCACGTGGTGGCATTGGCAGCGAATTCTATCCGATTCGCGTAACCTCATCTACTACAAGCAACTGATCGCAGTACATACTACATACTTTGGGAATGTGGTAAGGTATAACAAACAAGAATAACAGAAAAATAAATCAAGGGATCAGAGCGCGCGCACGTATAACAAACCAATATCCAAGCCATCACCCAGTAATCAATCCAACCCAACACTCCTCCTCTCCAGCTCAACAACCATATCCACCGCCCTATCCCTCGCATCCTCCAACACCGCCTCCTCCTCAAACACCCTACTCCCCAGCGCCCTCCTCAACATCCCCGCATCCGCCTCCTTCCCCGGCGGGCTCATCAGCGCCGACGCACCATCCCCATTCCCATCCGCTCGGAACACCCTACGGTGCAGCACGAGCGCCACCAACAACTCCCCCTCCGCACTCTCTTCTTCCCCAGCGTATTCGAGCCCGGCAGAGACAGAGACAGAGACCTTCCACACTTGCTCCAGCCTCCGCCCAAGCTCACCCACACCCCCGCCCAGCTCTTTCGCAGCTTCGATCGTCCGCTCCCGCTCGAGAGTCTCCCGCTCCTCCGCGCCCTTGTCCTGCACGTCCTCCTCGCCGTTCACGCTCCTGACGAATAGGACGCCGAGGTGGGAGCGTATGCGCTCGCGTATGAGGGAGGTAGCCAGGAGCTGCATCGGTGTAAGTGCCTTTTCCTCGTCGCTGAGAGGTGCGAGGCGTTCGAAGGCGGCGTCAAGCGTCATCTCCTCGAGAACCATGCGCTCGTATGTGTTTGCCCCGGTGAGACTCTGTGACCCCGCCCGAGATTTGGCAGAGGCCCAGACTGCGCGAGCCCTGGCTCTGACGAGACCCCCAAAGACGTGGATGCCACCAGCACCGTAGAGCGTTAACGCAGCTGTGGTAAGTTCCTGGACGCTCGTGGTGTGGGAGGAGGATATATGGTGGTATATCTGGATGCGCGACCACAACGATACTTCGCTTGATGCTACAAGAGACGGCGTTATATCAGTCTGCGCCATGGGAAATGGGAGCAAGCTAGACGACATACCCGACAAAACACACTCCTCGCCCAACCGGACCCAGTCGCTCTTCGTCCGTTTCTCCCTCCTGTTCCCGCGGGCAAAGTTGAGGACGGACCCACTGCGGAGGGACCTGCCGAGTGTGAAGCTGAAGCCGGCCCAGCTGGACACGAAGCTGAGGAGCACGACGACCGAGACGAGGAGATGGAACATCTGCATGTACTCGCTCACTCCCCACGTGGCTCCCCCCTCGATCGTGGCTGCAGAGCCGTTCAAGACGGTCCCAGTATGGACGTGGGAAGCAGGTGGGGCGGACGATGTCAAAGGGGAGTTGAAGAACGAGAAGAGCGCGAATGTCGCGAGGAGGTACTGCTGCGGGCCCTGGGCTTGCTCGTGCTCCATCTTCTGGTCCTGAACGGGGAACTGGGGGGGTACGACGGGAGCGATGACCTTCCTTGGGCGCCCACGCTTGCGTTTCTCCGGTACAACACCATCCGCCCCCTGCACAGGCTTCTTCTCCTTCTTCTCCTGCTTCGCAGGCGCCACACCAACAGCCGTCGTCTTCCCCCTCTTCCTCTTCCTCCCCCCCTCATCCTCATCCTCCTGTTCCTCCTCCGAGTCGTCCTCATCCCCTTCACCCTCCATCTCACCCTCCACCTCATCCTTCTCCTCCCCCCCAAACATCTCCCTCCACTCCCTCTCCCACTCCCTCAGCAACGCCGGCCCACCCACGAGCCCCGCCACCAACGACTTCAACCCCGCCTGCTCAGCCTTCAGCCTCCCCTCCCGCTTCTTCAGCACCCGGATATACTCCACCGCCTTCCCCAGCACATTCGCTTTACTGCACTTCCTTGCCACCTTTACGCCGTCCACGAACCCCCGCTCGTCAATGACGTCGACGACGCCGTTCGCACTGACGACGTCTCCGTTGAGGGGGTCGCCGGACACCAGCACCTTGTTCGGC